ATCAAAGAGAGTCTCACTTCGACAGCTCAGTCCCAGCAAACATGAAACATCTCCGTGCTCCACCTCCGGTTCACCGCCCTCCGTCGTCATCGACTTCGCCTCGGGGATCTCGAATCTCCGATTCCAGGGCACTGCTAAAGGCGCTCAAGCAGTCCTCCCCATGGCGCGCGCGCGCGGACACCCCGCGGTCCAGTCTCAGTCGTCTCTTGTCGTCCGGCCCGAAGTTCTTACCCAAAGTCGTCTAGAAGTTCTCGCCAAGTCTACATAGCTCAGCAAGTGTTTTTAGCTACTATGTTTTGGGGAGCATGTTGCATGTAGTTTTCAGCCAAGCCTCTAAAAAGCAATCATCAATGTCACTGATGAATAAACGCCCCCAGTAATAAGGAGAGGTAACACCATTCTGCTAATTCCGGAGTTTTATTTCTCAACGGTCAACATTAGCTTGTTTCCCCCTGAGAAGCTAACCCCAACTCGACCCCAACTCTTGAAAAATATGCTCTGATCTGCATTAGCTTGACATGGCCGCAAGCACACAACCTCATTTCCAACTGTTTCAGCAATCTTTCAAGATCGCTGGCCCCCGAACCTTCTTCTGGATGAGTCTAGCAGTGATTCCTGCATCCTGCGCGTGCATGTGCAGGCACGACAGGCACGACGGAAGAACTCAAACCTTCACAATCTGCAACCCCTTGGTCTGTGTGATTGCCGAACTTTGCTTCAGCTGAATTGAGCTTTCCAAAAACAAAGGAACTCCCGACGAACGTCATACATATTCTGAAGGTCCGGAAAGCCCCCATCGTATCTCATAGACTCCTACAGTATTTATAAGGTAGAATCCTACACCCTTGCTCAAACAAACAGGCACAAAGTTTTGTGGGTCTGCGTATGTGCATGTGTCGGTATGCATGCTTATCATATCATCATATCATCATATCCATGAAACACCCTTGTGCGCCCAAGAAGTTTCAGTAGTAGGCAGCTTAGATGGACGAGCTAAACCTTATGCCCACCCTTACTTACTTGCTTTCGACGCCAAACTTACTCCAGTTCTCGCGTTCGAACGGCAGACCCTTCTCGAACTGTCGCGGTCTCCCGAGCTGCGTAGAACATGGAGGAGATCCCCACGAAGATGCCACGGAGACCGGACCTTCCCAAGTTCGGTCTCTGGGAGCCCCCGAGCAGTTCGGTCTCCGGTGGAGTGCTGTGCCGAAATAGCTGTATCAATTCGCACAGCGTGCGAATTGAGGTGAAACAAGGCGCAACTGTTGGGCATTAAAAGGCACACACATCTGTCACATGCACCACAGCTGTTCAACCATCTGCCGTTTCTTCTCTCAACTTGGGTCACCCGGACGGCCATTCATGGAACTGGTTCTCTTTCAAACACTCCCCTCAGCGACCAAGAGCGACCACTCGTCGCTATTTGGGCCACCGGTGGATCCCACGTGGAAGAGTGGACGTGGCGAAACCGGCGAGGCGAACCTCCAAGACGAACGGTCCCAACGTTGGGACCATTCGTCTCGCATAAGAACGTCCCCCCCAATGGGTAGGGGTCATAAAGCAAATATGGAGAGGGCGGACCCTCCCCATGTTACAAAGGATATTGCCATGGGAATATAAGACGAACCACACCTGAACCGCACAGAGGAAACCCTCCCTTCTTTGCAAAGGCCAGTTGTGTCCATTCCATCATTGGAGACTTCCTGCTGATCATTCTCGATCCTCATCGCGCTGAGTTTGCCCTTTCAATAGCTATCAATAGCTCATTCAGTCATTCAAGCGCTAGGCGCCAATAAGCCAACGCACAACCTCCTCAACAACTTCAGGCTTCCCGGCCCAATTGTTGCGCCTTGGACAGGTTGGCAGGAAAAGCATGGAAAAGCATTGCTTCAATGTAGCATAATTACTGCAATGAGATGTGCGACCTGCAGATAATAGGTGGAAATTCTTGCCAATTGCTGGTGTCTTCGGCTGGTGTGGATCTCGAAATCGCGCTTCAAGATCTATACAGGCCATCTACAGGCCATGTTTGATGGAGATTGGTGCACCTGAAACTCTTGCCCGATCTTCTTCTCACTAATGTCTTACCCCTGGAAGAAGACACACTGTGGTCAAAAGAGGATGCATCACCAGCTTGGATGGTTTGATGTTCATCAGGCTGGCCGGAATCGGTCGTCTGGGTCCTAGCATCACTCAAAGTCACGCACGTCCTCATGCGTTGTCCTATCCCGTGCAGAACTTGATTCACATGAAGTTTGAAGAACCTCATCCTCCAGCCCGAAGAACACCAAACAGCAAACCCAGCAGTAAAAGGATGAATTGTTGTCAAATAACTCGACCCAGCAGCAACAGGAGGAATCATCATGATATTGAAAATTAGATGAACCATAGATGAACCATGATGAACCCGTATGTCCAAATGTTCTAGTCTCCTTCTCCATCCTTTGACAAGTCTCCGTTCCCGTTCTTCTTTCGGGAGGTCCCTCATCTTCAGCGATGCTTTCGGCTCTTTTGCGTTCTGCTCTTTCTGCCCGTCCGCGGCTGTTCCACGGGCGATGGCTGAGGTCACTCATCTCTCGGTGGTGTTTTCCCACCCGAGACTACCGTCGGGGTGAAGTGTGGCTCAAGAATCTCACAGATCGAGGCAAACCGTGGGCACGTGCAAAGATCTTCAAACTGTGTCACTTCACCCAGGCGTCCTATATCTACAGTATAGACCAGAAAAGTAAAACCCCTTTCAACATGTAATGGAAACCGTTATCTATTTGGAGACCACGGAGACCATTGTGGAAACCGTTTCTCTCTAATCTTCGGCCATCAAACTTCTGTCCCTCCAGATTCGACAGGTATTGTCCTTGGACCCAGTGATGATGGTATCTCCTTCGTAGTCGAAGGTGCAGTCCAGGATTTCATCGCCGTGACCCTCCAGGACTTGGAGGCAAGTCCCTTCCTGGCACGAAGCGGTTTCCGTGTTGCCTTCGGTGTTCCAAATGGTTTGCTCCTACGGTTTGGAGTCGTCTCAGAGTCGGAACTAGTATCACGCAAGTGAGAGAATGGCCTCTTGGAGGGCAAGTCCATCTAGCAAACAGGCTGTATAGGTACAATACCTAGTTTGTTCATGTTCATTTACCTCACAACATGCACACCTCAATCCTCATCTTGTTCCCTTTCAGAACCCCAGCGCTTCGCAATGTCCATCAGCCCAGCCCATTTCGTGTCCTTGATGGACCACAAACGGCAGCTTCGATCGGAGATGGAGATCAGCTTCCGCCCATTGGGGCTAAACTGCACTTTGCTGACGGGGCCCGCACCATTCCTGGCATCTCACTCAACGGATAGGCTCCCAACGGTCCAACGGTGTCAAACAGCGAGATTTGGCGCTGAAGCAGGTCGTTCCGCTGGGGGAAAGGGGCTTGTGCGTGGGGACAAAAGTTCAACTCTGATGGGCATAAGGGATAGGACCCAAGGGCTTGCTCGAGGGTGCTAAAGGAGCGAGGTACTTTTCGGCGAGGTACCAGGATGCTTCCAGTTTGCGCGGTGGACCCATCAAACATCACAAGCCCATGAAAAGGCACTCGAGATAGCACAAAGCTGAGAGAATTTATGAGCAGCACCACTTCTTTATATATATATATGAGACTGACAACAAACATCAACAAACCATTCTTCACATGACCTGCTATTCTGCAAACGTGTTCCATTCACATGGCAAAGAAAGATTTTCTTTGCCAAGCCACTATGATTCCTACTGTAAAAGGGACACAAGGCCAACATGGAAACTCACTTGTCGGAACAACCCCCTGTGGTTCACTGGTCCTAGTTTTGGAGGAGGCAGCCGGCTACGTTTGGCTCTCCACTTCTGAGGCTCATCATGAGGCCTTGCAGCCAAGGCACAGCTTGCAAACGAGAGCCGTCATCACCTTAGGGCAGGTATGTGATGTTTGTCAGCGCGCTGTATTTATCTATCGCATCGTGTCCAAATCTATGTCAGAATCTCGCTACACATATTATATATATATAGCATCGACCATCGAATTATAGGTCTATCCCAATTCGAAAATGCGGTTTTGGCGCAACTTCCCTATATTGGAGAGAGGAGTACATTTGGCTGCTCGAGTCTTCCGCAGATGCTATATACTCCGCACGGTACTCGCTCATTTACCACCCTCTTGCTTAGTCACGCAGTTCAATTTAGAAGAAAATCTGCCCAAACTTCAAGCAAACACAAACATGTGAACCGTTTGGCAGCCAAGGTGGGCCTTGGGACCCTTGTGTGCGCTATTCCGGCCTGACCACCCTCCTCGTCCGCCACACGATAGACCAGTATGTTGCAATCGGTCGAGCAGGTAGCAAAGCGATCGCCCACAGGATTGAAACAAGCATGAAGCACCTCAAGGAAGACAAACATAATGAAGAAAGAAAAGGTGCCCCGTTGTTCATTTCTTGGACTTCTTGAAAGACACGTAGTCGCTCAACGCAGTTCACGACCTATATATGTGTGGGCTGATCGTTCGACATGAGCCTGTCGAGTCTCCAGAGCTAGTGTTGAGTCGAGACTGCTTTAAGGGAGCACTATGGAGCACCCTCGAAACTCCTAACAAGTCCTTTTCTGCTTCTTGGGGATGCCAGCTGCTCCTATGCAGCAACCATGTTCAGTGGGATCACCTAGGGAGCTGGATACACAGCACAACCAAAAGAACGCCATGGGATGCCATGGGCTTCTATGTGCATGTTTTTGGCTTCCATGTGTCTGCTTGGGAGGCGGCCGTTAGATTCAAGGAATGCAATTGAGCATTTTTGATCCCAAGTGGCCGGATGAATGCCACTCGGTCGGTCCACCTGCCCCTTCTTCTCCATGTTGTGGCCTACCGGGGAGGGGGCGCAAACAACAACGCCTGCCGCCTTTATTGGCACTTTCATTCTGCTCAACATGTTAATGTTTGACGTTTGAGAGACTCGAGGGGCATGGATTCGAAGCAGGGGCATCCAATTGAATCCCTTCAGCCTTCAGCACATTGAAAATGCAATTTCTCGTGACACCGGCCTCTCAGGGTGTCCATACACCTCCCATTTTTCACTCTCCAAAGCTTGCATGTTCCGTCAAAGCTTCCAGTGAGGCACAAATGCCCAGCGAAGTCGAAGGATGCGGCTGAGATGTAGCCTGGAACTCGAACAAACAAATCGTCATTCAACCCTCTCTGCAGGTGGTCATGAATTCTTGCACGTGGAACATCGTGGAACTTTAACAACAACACCGTCCATATTCCGCTGACACCCAACAAGAATCCATCAACGCAGCCTTGCAATTTCTGGCTGCTTGGGCAGAAAACAACTGGTTCGGTGTTAGTCGATTTGCTCGTCCTCGTCCGGTGTCTCCTCGTGGAGGTGTCTCCTCGTGGCGTTCGCCTCCCGAAAACGCTCGGATCGGATCCGAGCCACCGCGATGTCCATCTTGGAGTTGCTTGGATTTGATCTCACTGCCATGCCCGGACAACGTGTGAAGGCCTCGGACTGGGCCAAGGGAGGGGGACTTCGTGGCAACACTATCCGTCAGTCAGTTCCTAACCATGGACCGCGTGGAGTCATAGGAACACATATGAACACATATGAACATCTTGAAGCTACCCTCCGAGCTGAAAAAAACAAGCACGGAAACCACTGAAAACGCGAGGGCTGGGCAACTTCAAGGGAGAATCGTTCAGGGAAGTGGCATTTTCCAGTTCGAACATCCCAAATTTTGGCAGTGTTGTCGAAGGAGCCGCTCAGAATCTTATCACCTCAGTCGCCCGAGCCAAACCCACAGTGCCTTTCCAAACCCCTCATTCTTGCGATTGCCATCTGACAAGAATGATCTCAAAAACTCTCCCTAAACATCTCTTTTCAAGCAAACCCTTGAAAAATATTCAAGCAAAGGAGAGCTGCTGAAAATTATGCTCGAACAGTTCGAGACTTCAAAGACCTTAAACGCCTCCCGAAGTCTTCTTCACTCCGGGCGAAGGCAAGGCCTCCGGTCCACAACAAATCATCTCCAAATTCAATATATAATTCCTTTGACTAACTTTGAGCTCGATCAAACCCATCCATTCCACTCATCACTGAGTTGCCATCTGTGCTGAAGCTCACTGACGAGATGTCACCAGAATGCCCGCGCAGGGACAAAATCGCGAGGCCAATTTCCTTGGCGCCCAAGGTGCGTGGCCAAAAGAAATCAAACAACAACACCTCAGTGTAAAAGCTATGAAGAAGAAGGATGCATGGAAAGGGGTAATGTTGTTTTGTTGCCAGGAATAACAATTAGTAAATCTTATTATGGTGTAAGTAATTGCAACTATTGTAGCATTTCAGCATTTCGGCTTGACAGCGCTCTCATTTGCCTGCTGAAACGTTCAAATTGGTCGTACTTCAGGCAATTGAGTTTGAGACAAACCGTGCCCCTCAAAAAAGAAGAACACAACAAACAAACATAATCAACACTTAAATCATATCCGTCACCATGAATGTTTTGGGCACCTCCCCAAACAACCAAAATAGCAGTCATTGGAACCGGGCGGCCACGTCCCACAGCTTCAGGCCGCCATCAGAGCTACCAGTGCATAGGACGGAACTTTGCAAATTGAAACTCGCACAGGTGATACGTCCCTCATGGCCCTTCCTGAGGGAAAACATGGCTCAGGGAAATAGGATGTTATTTTCGGATCCTCGTTCCAAGGTCTAAAGTCGAAAGCCACCTTTGGTGGGTGTTTGCCCACGTGTCGTTGAAATGGAACCTGGGCTCTGGTAGTAAGGCACCTTGTTACTAGTAGTTTCTTGTTACAGTATTGGCCTCCAACTTACTAGCGATGACTTCTAACATAGTAGCTTCTTGATAACTATGTTCAACATTTCTTGTCTTCAGAAGTGGGAAGATGCACCCTCACAGCCTTCGGGGCTGCAAGTCTGCCAGTCTACCGTCGTCATCACACCGAAACCCTCACGCCCCCCTTCACACTTCGAAAACAAGAGTCCAAATAGTATGCAGCATTTGAAGTGCGAGTGGATCTTAATCAGCGAAGTT